GGTCGATGAGCACGGAGTATTGTTTGAGGAACAATGTCGACAGCTCGTCGAAACTATCAATCGAGTTTCGTTCCAATCTTGAAAACCACTCTAATGCGGGTCCTTTGAGATGTTCCACGAAGAGTAAGCACAGACCTGCATCCTTTTCCCCGGGCTTGAACCTGGCTCGGGCCACAGATATCACGAACGATTTAATGTGGCACTTCGGGTCGGTTGATCCGTTGTAAGAGTCGATTTTGAACTTTCCCAGGTTGGACATCGTCGTCTCAGAAATTCTTTTGGTGAAAGGCGTATTCCGAGATTCTTCCAAAATTCGGTCGATGTTCGGTGCGGAGGATGAAACGCTATGTATCTGGGTTTTGACGAGCTTCATATCAGCTTCCGCCTTGGCTAGGGAGGCTCGGATCTTGCTTAGCTCGTCTTCTCTTTCGGATTCTTCGGCCCACCTTATGTTTTCCTCAGTTTCTTCATCGTCAGTGAGATCTGTTCGCTCGGCGGAGTTAGCTCTGGCTCGGGTACGCTCATCTTGCAGATCATCTGGCTCGTCCGTCAAGTCCACTGCGTCTGGTTCGGTGGGATCACCTTGGTTTTCGCGCCTGGCAGGGTCGGCTCGGGTTGCGACTCTGGTGTTGCCGGTTGGTGTCGCGAACGTGAGTCTCGTTGGGTTGATGCCAGGCAAGTCCCTTCGAGCTCGTGGTGGCCGAGTTTGGAAACGTGTGGTTTTTGTTGCCCGCGTGTTGCGATTTCGTCGACTCGCTGCGCCAGGGTTTGGTTGGCTTTCTCTTGGTCGTCAGTTTTCTTCTGGAATTTAACCATCAGATCCTTCAGTTCGGCCAGAGTCGCTAGAATCGTCAGATCGGCTTGAGGATTCTGAGGGTTTGGAGGGTTTGGGATTCCTCCTCCAGCGGGTGGCGTCTGACGACCGTCTTCGTTCATCGTCCTTTTCAGTAATCGAATTCTGCGTCTTAGGGTAAGAGAATTCTAAAGTAGTCCCCACAGACGGCGCCAAACTGTGGAAGTCGAAACTAACACAATCGAGATTTGTCTAGGGTTTTAATTTAGGGATACGATTTGCGAGAATTCTCAAAGAACGACAGAATCAATTGATACCAAAGATGGTGTTCTTGATATTATTAAGAAAAAGATGACTTTGATCGTACAAGAGTTTGATCGTAAAAGAAAAAGGTGTTTATGCTGCGAGAGCTTTGCGTAGTGTAAATTCTAGAGCGATATTGCTTGCCCCTTCGTTCTAGCCTTGAATTACTTTATATAGGGATGACAAACCGCCTCTCCAGCGATATTCTCGGAAGATTTCCATTTATCTTGAAGTCGGCTAGAATATCGCGGATTAGGACAATTTCCTTATTCTTCGGAGTTTTCGGAAGATTTCCTGATTTGAGTTGATCCTTCGCGATTCTTCCTTATTATTTCCGAGATTATCGGAAATGATCCTTCTTTTTCGGAAATGACAATGTGCTTAGAAATGATACCTTTAAAGAAGAATATTTACTAAGTCTTTGCTTCGGGCGATGATGAAGACTTCGCCTCGGGGAACTTGTAAGACCGGCTCGGGTACACATGAAGGACTGGCTCGGGCATTCTGGGGTGGCTTCTTCGGGTGTCCCCGAGGCGATGGGCTCGGGTACCCCCGAGGCAATTGGGCTCGGGTGCCCCCGAGGCGGTAGAGCTCGGGTGCCTTCGTAGACTTGTGAATGTATCCCCGAGGCGATGGGCTCGGGTATACTAAATCGTTTAGACAGATATCCCGAGGTGAATGATGCGATGCCCCGAGATGATCTCTGAAAGACTCCCAAAGTGTTCTAAGTCTGGCTCGGCGCCAAAGGGTGAAACCGACCCCAACAGTTTCTATCAGGGGACTTTGTGACAGTGCCAAACTGCAAAGGACAATTGTCGATTTGTCGTTACATAGTGAAGAAGCATCGGAGGTGAAGAAAAAATAAAAGCTTACTAATTTTGCAGAGACAATGCTCTGTTTTAGCTATGGGTGTCTTTTGATTAAACGTGACTTGTTTAACCCTCAATAGCTACAAGATTAGTATCTTTAAACCTCACTTTCCTATATTATAAATACCTTAATATGGAAGTTCTTTTATGTTGAATCCTTTCTTCTTAAAGCGATTGTGAATTGTATGCAAGTTCAGAATAATCTCAAGATCTTCTTAGAGTGAATCTGTTTACGTTCTCTTTTGAGCATACCCTTTAATCATCTTGGCTCAATTTGTTCGATCTGTCTTTTACACTTTAAGCTGCTTTTTTTTAGGGACCCTTTGACTTTGAGCCAGCACTACACGAGAGATAGACTAATTTGAGAGGAAAAAATCAGGTTTTTTTTTTAATAGTTGTAGATTAGAAAAAGGAGAACATGCTTAGAGTGCAATACAAGTAAAGTAGGACAAAATCAAGTGAACAAAATCGATTTGGAAAGGAAAATAAATAGGTGACGTGGAAAATATTCATGGTTTGATGAATAAAGTAGGTTGTCTGTTTTTATGACTGTTGTCCTTTCAGGGGTACAGACACAAGAGCACACCATGTTTCTTTCTTTCATTTCCTCGTTACATAAATTTTATTTATTTCTCTAACCGATTTCTTTTTTTGAATTGATATCTGAATTCATAGCATGCTATCTAAATTCAACAGCACTGAAACAAAACATATATATATCCAACCTGCTCAATTAGATAATTAGCTAGTAGTAAAAAAACGATAAATTTGTGATGAGTGACAGAACCACAAAAAATGGGAAAATGTTTGGCTAGGGTTTTGTATGATTAGTTGAACATCGACAGATGATTGTTTTAGACTTAGTATAGGGATTTGTTATTTTAATCACTAATGATCAGAAAAATATAATTATACTTACAGGTTGTATCTACATGCAGTTTACGTATTTGGTGGCATAGTTTCTGGATAGCTTGATATCTTCGTATTGTATAATCCATAATGCATTTTGAAATGAAATATAATAAAACAGAAACAGTGAAAACTCCAAGCTATGAACTTTTTTATATGACCTAAATGGAGTAAGAGGGCATGGTACGAACGTGCGACCGCAACCTTATTTTACGCAAAAATACAGATAATATCCAATAATGAGTAGTCACGTGTCTCTCTACGTCTATAATGCATTACGTGATGGACTTAATATTACAAGTGTCATTCTGATTTTGCATATATCCGTAATTAATAAGAGCTGTGTTCACATGTCCCCTGCGGAGTCGTATTAATTCTAAGCCAACTAACTTGTGGAATTCTTATAATACTATATAGTTTTCGTTTCTTTTGACCATATATGAATAATGAATTACTTTAAGGTTCTGGATAATATAGAATGTTTATAACATTCTATTCAAACAAAAGCAAACAAGATCTGTTTATTGCAGTGTCATATCGTCGTCTTCTAGCCTTTCCTAACAAAATTATGAAAAAATTACGAGTAAATATTTCCTTGACAGTTGTACGTTAGTTTGGATTTTAACTTATAAATGTATTAATTGCTTGATTATCTTCGGCTAAAGGTTTTTACATAATTTATTACATTAATGAAATATTTTTTTCCCAATGCCATTGCACTTTCGAAAGTTTCTCATGACTAGTCCATAGAGCGACTTACTCGTCCTCTGTCTCTTCTTGACCATTGCACATTATGATTATTATTTCCATTCGATCTCTGATCTACAAATCCAATTAACTCTTATATATATATATATATATATATATATATATATATATATATTTTTCAGATATAACTATATACTTACATGTTATTTATCAGGTTGATTATCATTCTAACAGCTTACAATTATCTTGTTAAAATGTTCGTACTTTTTTCCATTTAAACCGGTTTGCTTTCTTGACGCCTGATTTTGTTCACGCAAGGAGACAAACTTTTCCGGATTCTATTGCATAAATAAAAAAACCTCGGATTTTGTAACACTTGGCAGCAAAAAAAAAAAAAAAAAACGAATGGATATCAGAAAAAGACAGTGTGAAAATAATGATAGCATCATTCATATATCAAAAAAAGCAACATAAAGTTAAAAACAATTATCATAAGAATTGGGGAAAATGTCAAAAATGGTATCCATCTGTTTTTAGACTCAACAAGGTAAGCATAAAGAGGAAGGACTCAACAAATGATTCCAAAACCTCCAAATAAAACGAAACTTTTTTCATATTTTCTGCATTTTTTGGCTTGTACTATTACCATCACTGTATCTAATAGTATTAGGCCCTGTTCTAAAAATCCCCGCCTAGCCCCGATTACTCCCCGCTTAATCGCTAGGCCCACCCTATCCGCCTCGATTAATGACTAATCCCCTAAAAAATCAGTAACCCGATTATTCTCCGCCTAATCCGATTACTTCCCGCCTAATCCGATTATTTTCCACCTAATCTTATATACCCCGATTATTTTTTAGATTGCAAGTATAAAAAAACCTTTCATTTTTGTTATTCAATCATTTGAATAGGGAGTTTGTGATGTTTTACAATAACTTGTGTTCAAATTTTAATAAAAATCATAAATTTGTAATAAAAATCATAAATTTTTACAATATTGGATTAATATATTTTAAAAATATTAAAATAACCCTAAAACTAATCCCCGGTTAATCCCCGATTTTAATCCGATTTTCCGATTAATCGCTAGGCCCATGCCGAGCGCCCGACTAGCGCCTAGCGATTTTTCAAACAAGGGTATTAGGAATCAACCACGAGTCCATGACATGTTAGAATTCTCTACTTATTTTAAACCAAACTAATGATTTTGTAGTAAAAATGTTTACAGAAATACATGTCACTCTCCTAAATTTATTACCTTAACAATGTTAAAATACCTTAGAGAATGAATTTTTTATATATTTAATTTTACATAAAAGTTAAATCAAATCAATTGGCTTTTCACTTTGCTTTCAATTTTTTTTATAAATATATATAAAAAATTTTGAAAGCAAAGTTATATATAAAAAAAATTGAAAGCAAAGTGAAAAGCCAATTGATTTGATTTAACTTTTATGGAATTAAATATAGACAGTTTGAGTTGGTTCAATGACATTTATTTCTCTGCCTCTTTCCCAACGTCCCCTTCTTTATATGGGAGAGTAAGACCGGTCCATGACCCTCACACGTGACCTCTCTCTCTCACGTGCCTTTCTTCTCCTCCGTCATCAATATAAACAGTTGGGGAATTTATAACTTTCTTCTCCTCTCTCTCTCTGTTCTTCTGTGGAGCTCTCATCTCATCAATGGATTCTCTCATCAATCCCAGCCATGGCGGAGGAAACTACGATTCTCACTCTTCTTCTCTCGATAGTCTCAAACCAAGCGTACTAGTCATCATTCTCATCCTTCTAATGACTCTTCTCATCTCCGTCTCCATTTGTTTCCTCCTCCGGTGTCTCAATCGCTTTAGCCACCGCTCCGTTATCCCTCCGTCGTCATCTTCCACTTCCGCCGCAACCGTAACTTCAGATTCCCGACGATTCTCTGGACATCGAGTCTCTCCCGAAACAGAACGATCCTCGGTGCTTGATTCGCTTCCGATTTTCAAATTCTCCTCCGTCACTCGCCGATCTAGTTCAACAAACTCCGGCGATTGCGCCGTTTGTTTGTCGAAATTCGAACCGGAGGAACAGCTCCGTCTTCTTCCTCTCTGTTGTCACGCTTTTCACGCCGATTGTATCGACATCTGGCTAGTCTCGAACCAGACTTGTCCTCTCTGTCGTTCTCCTCTCTTCGCTTCAGAGTCCGATCTAATGAAGTCTCTCGTCGGCGGAAACAACAACAGCAACGGTGGAGAAAACAGCTTCCGTCTCGAAATCGGATCCATCAGCCGTCGTCAAACAGAATCCGTAGAGCAGCACCGATCTTACTCAATCGGTTCGTTCGATTACATAGTAGACGACGTAGATTCAGAAATCTCAGAGTCAAATTTCAACCGTGGAAGCATATCGGCAAAACAGGAAGACGCCACTACAACAACAACAGCAACGGCGGTTACGTCTAATCCGGCGTCGTTTGAAGCTAGTTTAGCGGCGGATATAGGTAACGATGGTTCTAGAAGCTGGCTCAAGGATTACGTGGACAGACTCTCACGAGGTATATCGTCGCGTGCAATGTCGTTTAGAAGCTCTGGTAGATTTTTTACCGGGAGTAGTCGTCGGACTGAGGAATTGACGGTGATGGATTTAGAAGCCAATCATGCCGGCGAAGAGATAAGTGAGCTTTTCCGGTGGCTTTCAGGGGTGTGAGTGATTGGTGAGTCGGTGAAATTTGTTCATTCGCTTGGTTTTAGCACAAAAAAAAAAAAAAACAGAGCATTACTTTGGGTTTGTACATATGAACACTATCTGAAGTTCTTTGCTTCAATTACGGGATTGTTTTTTCTGAAGATATAACAGATGAATTCTCTAGTTATATATTACTTCTAATGGTCTATTTTTTCTTCCATTATAATTTTTGTCCAATGTGATTCAACATTGATTCCAAATGATAGCAAATTTTAGTTTGGATAACTCTTCTTATTGAATATCTGGAAGAAAAGAAAACTATTACCGGTAATATGTACTAAAATCACAAAAGCTAGATTATGTTATAAAATTTAAAAGATGGAAAGCAAGTTTAAATAGTTTCAGAGTTTTTTTTTTTCACAATTCTGCAGACTTTATATATTTCCTTATTCCACAATATATAATAGGAAGAATTATACATATATACAAAAAGACATATAAAAATTGCTATTTTTTAATCATGGTAAAAAATCGTTTAAATGATCATAAATATTAAATTGTAGTATGAATACTCCATTGAACCAATATCTAAAGGTTGGATAAAACAAAAACCAAACCGTATTAAGAGAACTGGTTTTCAAAGATGAGTCAAAAGTATTTGGGCAAAGCACAGAATTTTTTTAAGGAGGTCAAGCAACAAGAGAAGTCTGTAGAAGAAGTGTTTGGTCCAGCAACAAAACACACAAACACAGCAAGAACGAGCGAATCTCCTCAACCTCTCAACCTAATAATAGCTTGCCGTGTCGTGATTCGTGACTCACAGAGAAGGAAGCTAAAGTTATCCAATTCCTCGACTTTCATTACAGTACCTAAACCCTTCTTGTCTGCAACACTAATAGCAACTGTGAGTCTGTGACCTTCGCTGCAGGTTTGACATTACCCGGTGGTTATATCTTATATGAGTTCTGCTCCAGGTTTAGGCATTACTGCCTGCATTGGTCAATGAGTTAAATTTTAAGGTATTTCTTTTGTTCAACAACATTGCAATGTGCAGTTCTGTGGTAACTATAATGGCTCATATTTGAGGACAACTGGGTGATGCTCTTCTGACAAAGAAAGCTTTTCGACTAGCTTTACCACTTGTGTTAACGGCTCTTGTATCGTTGAAGTGGCATCTGTGACTGGAATTAGTCTTGTGGTGAGCGATGATCTCCGATGGCTTTCCGATCTTGTATTAGCCATAGATTCAGCCTGCTTTGTAGTCCTGATGCTACCTATCATTCCCTATGCTTTCTCGTCTACAAGACAGGGCTTTCTCCGACACATCTTCTATTTTCCCTACTTCTTGACATGGATGGTTAAAGAATGCTCTGTTCTGTTCAGTTTTGTATCATGGTTAATTGTTAGTGTTATTTTTATGAGTGAAAGTTATTTTAACAGTTTTGTATCTCACGACTTTGTAGTAGTTTGTGATTGTCTTTTTACAACGTAACCAAGATAAACAACCACAAATAGGATTTCCTTTTTTCCGTTAGTTGGTGTTATAAATTTAACATGTTTTTACGTATTGTAATTTTAATTCTTAAATTTATTTTAAGGTTTCTCATAATACTTTTTAAGTAAGCCTTTTTGATTTAACTAAAAATTTTAATTAATAAATATATTCGTTCGAAAGAAATTTAAGAGGTAAATTTTAATGTCTTGAAAATAAACCAAAGTGGAAGCCCCCTTGGTCCATCGGTTGACCAATGGTTGATTAATGCTTCTACACTAAAAGGTCTGGGGTTCGAGTCCCAGGTATTGCGATTTATTAACAAATTTGCAGATTAATGGAGGCAAGTGTGCAAGAGATCTCCAGCGATGTACAATTATAGCCGTTCGCCAGGATTCTACGCAGAGAAGGAAGTGTCGCGAGGTCGTGGATCATTGAAGGTATTCATCAAGATTACGAAGAAGGAAGTGTAGTCTGTCGTGAATCTAGTAAGGGTCGGAAGGAATTGTCAGTTGTAGAATCGTCTATGTAACAATTCTTATAATTTGCAATTAATAATAAATATAGACGACAAAAAAAAAAGAAAATAAACCAAAACTTAAGATCCCGTCCTTATGATTTCTGTCGGTTCGTTACTTGGTATGATAAGTTTAACTAGCATTTTTGGTTTATTATAAACCGTTTACAGGGTTTAGACCATAGTACATATTTGGTTTATTATAAACCGTTTATATGTTTTCCTAAACTGTAACGTTTTGGTATTCACACTGGTTGGTTAAAAAAAAAAAGCCAATCATGCCGGAGAAGAGATAAGTGAGCTTTCCGATGGCTTTGAGGAGCTAGGAAGCACGGAATCGGCATCCAACCTCCGCTTCCCGCTTCGGAATCGGAACCGGGTACGGAAACGTCAGGAAGCGCTCGGAAATGTGATGGAAGCGCGGTTCCAAAAAATCACACATTGGAAGCGTCTGGGAATCGGTCGATTCATATTTGGAAACGTGGTGTTATGAACGGAAACGCAACCTCCTTTTTCTTCATGTTCAATTGCCTTTAGGCCTGGGCATTCGGCAAAAACCGAGAAAACCGAACCGAACAAACCGAAATTTTCGGTTTTCGGCAAACACATGATGAAGGGGAGTGAACCGATCGGCAAAATAATTTGGGGAATTCGGGTAACGGTTCGGTTCGGTTCGGCGAGCTGAAACCGAACGGTTATTCGGTTTTGTTCTCATCACTCCATCTTCTTCTTCGAGTCTGTATCTCTGTGTGTAAGAGGAAGAAGAAGACTCAGCCGCCGCGTTGACATTACAAAACCCTAATTAATTTTAATGTTTTTGGGCTTAAATCTGGATTTTTTACTTGTATTTAGGCTATGGTCGTTGGCCCAATATTCAAAACATTCTCAATTGGATATATAATCAATTTGAGTTGGCCATAAGCCCAATACGTTTTTTTATTTGGCCCAATATTTATTATACAGACCACAATCTTTATATAAAACAGAAACCCTAGATCTCTAACTCAAAATTCCATTGGCAGCCGTTTCTCCTCTTCCTTCTAGCGAAAATTTTACAGAAATTCCTCAATCGATTCTTCTTGCACCGTTCGTTAGTCTTGCTCTGATTGTATCATTTCTTAGTTCTTTTTTATAGCCTATTGTAATAATAATCTTTTTTTGTTACGCAATTTTTTTTTGTTACGCAAGCAAGCTTATATATTTATGATATATATATTAACGCTTCCAATACGTACCCGCTTCCTATATTTTTCACAAAAATCGCTTCTGCGATTCCAAACGCTTCCGCTTCCGCGTACCCGCTTCCGATTCCATGCAGCTTAGTTGAGGAGTGAGAGTGAGTGGTGAGAATAATGGTGACATTTTGTTGTATGAGTAAATCATTGAACCAATAAGAACTATAATTAAGGTTGGATAACACAAAAAGTCCAAACCGTATTAAGAGGTACTGGTTATCAAAGATGAGAAGCAAAAGTAGTTGGGCCTGGCCCAAAACAAATCGAACAAAGCACAGAAAGATGCAACAAGAGAAGTCTGTAGAAGAAAGGTTTGTCCAACAACAAAACACACAAACACAGCAAGAACGAGCGAATCTCCTCAACTCCCCAACCTAAAAATAGCTTGCCGTGTCGTGACTCGTGACTCGTGACTCACCGAGTAGGAACCTAACCTTATCCAATGGCTTCGACTTTCATTACAGTACCTAAACCTTTCTTGTCTCTTCCCATCAAAACCAATGCTCCTACTCTACCTCACCAGGCCCTTCTCGGTACAAATCTTAATCCATGTTTCTCTATTTTCTGGATTAGCTTCTCTTGTGTCTTCTCCATTAATGACTCTTTCTTGTTTATGGATTTCTCTAGGATTTCGAAGAAATTCCCTTAGAATTAACGCCGTTTCCACCAAATGGGAACCGGCAAAGGTACGACCTTTTAGTTTCTCCCGTCGTCTCCTTTTGATATCTGGTGGTGATTTTGTTTTAATCGGGAGATCATTTTCTGTTTGTTGTAATGGTTTTTTTAGGTTGTTCCACAAGCAGACAGGGTCCTTGTCCGTCTTGAAGTCCTTCCTGAGGTTCTGTCTCATATCTTTCTTCTTTTTTACATTCTTAATCCATCCCCTTATTGACGACTAGAGAGTAAGTTTGCCATTTTTTCCGGTGACTCTTGCCTGTGATTCCTTAGCTTTTTTCTCCAACAATGTTGCTGTTGAAATGTAGTTAGTTCCCCTTTTGATCTGAAGTCTTAGGATCGTTTCTCTTTTGTTAAAAGAGAAGAGAACCACATTAAAAGGGAAACAATTTAGGACACTGAGAGAAGATTACAAAAACAACAAGAATTTAGTTGCTCTTGCGGTTTCAGTTGACGAATCATGAGTCTTGGTAAATGGATCCAGAAGAGAACTTTAGACAATGGTTACGTTGCTAGCTGTGAGTTATCATGTTGATGTGACAATGCTTGTGCTTCTTCTGCAGAAATCCTCAGGAGGAGTATTGTTACCTAAATCAGCTGTGAAATTCGAGAGGTACCTAACAGGCGAGGTAATTCTCTCGTCATTTGCTCTTTACTTGGATGTTATTAAGACTTAAAGAAGAAACAATTGATGATGGAGTTGATGATTTCAGGTTGTCTCTGTTGGGTCTGAGGTTGGGGAAGTGGAACCTGGCAAGAAGGTAAGTTTCATCTTTCAAGTTTTAACTAATTAACAATGAAGTCACTGTCTGATCTCCTTCTTCATTGATTAATTCATGCTCTTGTCTCTTTTGCAGGTTGTGTTCTCTGATATGAGCGCCTATGAGGTTTGTGTTTAATGATTATGATGGAACATTGGGGAAACTCTTTTCTGTAATGACTTTGATCATACTTATGAAACTGAGACATCTCTCTTGACTTCTTCCAGGTTGATTTTGGAACAGATGCTAAGCATTGCTTTTGCAAAGAAAGCGACTTGTTAGCAATCGTCCAGTGAAAAGTAGCATTGAAGTTGTGCATTCAATTATATCATCTACCAAAAAGAGTTCCAGGTTTTGTTTTTCTTGTAATCTCAGTGACATCATATGTTCTGTTTTTTTGCATCTCATGTAAGAGCTCAAAGTGTTGAATTTAACATGAAGATTGATCGGAAACCGAAATTGTTATGAGTAAACAATAGAATTCGTTTTGTTTTGCAAATTTCTCATAGGAGAGAAAAGCCTTATGTTTATAGCTTAGCTTGT